ACATATTCAAATTATATATATAATATATAAAAGTGTATATATATATATATATATATATATAACATAGAATAAAAAGCAAATATGAGAAGTTTATAAATTTAACGTGTTTCGATTTTATTTAAGATTCATCAGAAAATTTGGGAAATGTTTTCAGGAAAAGCAAGTTAGGTTACTTTGACTTTTGCGTATTGACTTGGGCGAATTTAATCACTTGAATGTAATGTAGGTTTGTGTTTTAATTTAATATTTTTTCGCTTGATTCTTAGCAATGTCTTCCTACCTTTGCTTGAACGTGTTAACGTAATGTTAATTTGATTGGGGTAGCAGCATTTACTGAAGTTTTTTATCGTTTTCGTGGTTACTAACTAGAGATTTGCAAACGCGGTTTGTAAGAGTTGGTATTCGAACTTACACTCTTTTTAAATTTAATTATTTTGTATTCTAATTTTTTTTTATCCACCAGCGAACAGGTATGTATACACGTTTGTGTTGGAACATCTGTGGACCGCTGCTCGACTCTCCAAATAAATTATCTGAAAGAAAGCTCATTCTTTGAAATAATTTACCTGTAAGTCAGAACCTGGATTGTTTTTTGTTATTTTTTTTTTAATAGGAGCAAATAGGCTCACCTATTGACCGGTCCATATTCCTCGCACTTCTCTTGAACAGGAGTAGAGACTCATCCCTTCTTTCCTGCTTAGGAAGGAGTTCCCAGTTCGTTTCTTTTACTCGGGCCTTAAATTTGGCGCTGTCGTTATTTTTAATTTGTGTTGTGTAACCCATGTGTGTGTGTGTGTGTGTGTGTGTGTGTGTTTGTGTGTGTTTGCGTGGATGGATGGCAACGTATCTTCATACTGAGGGTACCTGGATGGTAGCTTTCTGGTTGCTGTTCCCGACTGATAGTTTTAAAGAACTCTTTATATACGCCTTGATAGGCTGCTTTTCCACATTTAATAATATCAGAATATGTCGCGTATGGAAGGGTTTTAAGCAAACACCTCCGGTGCGCAACCTGAGGCCACGCTATGTTGCAGTCTGCGCCAGTTCCCCTCCCTGCACATACTGCATTAACTGACCGCTACGACTACTTTTCTTCCCAATATAACATATCATGATTATAAACAACCAAAGATATAAACCTAAACCAGATCAACAAAAACACCTCAACCCCTTAACCCTTATTCATACCAACTTCTGCAAAGTGGAATCGTTCCTCTTTGACAAGTCTCCTGATATACTAGATCTCTGCAAGAGTGACCCTAGCTCGTCAGTCATTTCTTATTTCTCGATACCTGGCGAACTTCCTCTCCTTAGAAAGGACTCTAAAGTCCATATGCAAGGCCTGGGAGTTTATGGATATAAATATCTCCCACCGGTTAGAGAACTCTCTCATGAATCTCCACACAACTCTTAGATGTGTCCCCGTCTCTCTCTACTTAACTCAGTCAGCTATCTCTTCTTTCTCTACCGTTCCCCTCCTCTCAAGACTGTTGTGTGCTTTTAATAGTATTCCTGATAATATAAATGAAATAAAATCTCCCTACACCCGTTTGCAAACATATACGTGTTCGGTGACTTTAATTTTACCATAACATTTAAATTGCACTCTGTCAATATATTTCGTTGGTATCAAAAACCTTTAAATCTCAATAAATCAATCTCTCACAAATCGTTGAATACCCCATCCTTTTCTCCAGAAAAATGGACAAAAAATGCTAAAAATACCTCTATCCCTGAAATTTGGTTTCGTTTTGAACGCATCTTTTGCCTATTGAAACTCTGATCAACTGCCGTAAAAATAAAAAGCATCTCTTTCCGCTCCCCACCAGCCAAAAATATCCTACCAATAAAATCTTTGTTATTAACGATCAGATTGGGACTCGTTCTGAAATCCTTTAAACACGTCCCTTGAAATTAAGTTTTTAATTATCCGAAACAAAAAAAAATGTGCGTCTGAAAATTTAAACCGATGCTCTCATTCCAGCAAGGATATATTCGAAAATTAAACCGATATTCATTTCTTCGTTTTTCCCTGCTTGCTCTCTCTCTATAGCCCTTCAAAAAAATCCCTTTTTCCAGCTTTTGCAATCCCTACCCCATCCCTCAAAGTGAGCCCCATTTAAAAAAATATATCAAAATTACCCTAGGATTTAAATACGCATGAACGACATCATCAACGTCCTGAAATTTTCAAATCGTCAGATTTTTATTGTGCAATTATTACTTCCCATACAATCAACCAGGCCAGAAAGAACTCATCTCCCCTCAATAGGACATTATTATCGCGCGATGGGGTTATATGAACAAGCAAGTGTTGAGATTCAAAATTCGCAAAATTGGTTTCCAACTTGCGTCCAAAGAATAAATTGACAAAAATGAACAAGGTTGTAACTCAATGCATGTCCTGTTAAATAAGTTTCCGCATACTGGATATTTATTGAACACAATATCCACGCCGGAATCATCAACCAACTAGAACTTACAGAATAGTCTTGCCCGGGTAACAGAATGGAGTCTCCCAGCCTGTTATATAAACCACCTACCAATTTGCCCAGCTGATATGTTTAGTCAAACTACTACTGTTGAGTACTGTTTGTTGCTATTACCAAACTACACAGATCGACATATCTGATTAATATAACAGACGTCTTTTTTATTTATAACGATATACAAGCGTGTCCTCAATGAAGTATATTACTGCTTTTGTTGATAGAATGAAACAACGTTGTTATCTCGCACGTTCGGTTCTAGAAATATTGTCGGTCCTACAAGATGTTGAACAGTAAATATTATCAATCCCTCCTATATTCAATCAATTCCATAAATACTGATTTCTGTAACAGATAAGGCTGAATTTTTTGCTCGAAATAAATTCCAACTTTAACACTTCAAAAAATGAATGTATATCCACAACTGATTTCCCGCTTATAGCTGAGGCTATAATGATGATATGTATAAGCTCCGCCAAGGTCTCGGATTTCATTTTATAAATTATATATATATAAATATAACATATATTTGACAGGATACCAGCTGTAGTTCTAAAGGAATGTGCTCCCGAACTGGCTCCAGTTCTCTCCAAGCTCTACAGCTATTGCCTCAGATGCTTTCAATATATCAACCAATACACGGAATACAATAAACAAAAACTAAAAATTCTTGAAGCTATCTACATAAAACAATTGAAACCTTACCTGAACAAAATAAACTACGAAATCTTCACAAACATACTTAAATGCCTATAACTGATAACAGAAGCCATCGGTTTATACCAACGGCTTCCCATACTTAATCCTTCTCGTTTTCACTCTCGCGTGGTCATGTGTGACGTCACAAGCTGCGACGCGATTTTCGCTTCCGCGTCTCGTACACACTAATTAGTCATTGCATTGAAATTTTTAATGCAACAAAAACAGTCTATCATTATTGTTCCGTGTATTAGTTGATATATTGAAAAGTAATTGTCATCTTTGATAATGGCTTATGTAAGCCGATAGATTAGATTGGATTTAAACTTGTATCAATATGGTTATTTCCTTTCGTCTTTCAATGATAATGTTATTAAGCTTATCAGACAATATGAAAAGAACTTACTTAAAATAAATAGACAAAACTTGTCTATATTAGTTAATGAAACATGCATCAATGAAAAATTGTTGCCGAAATACACATACACACATATCAGTTATAGTATGACGCCAAAAATACTGTCGGTCAGTGGGATACAGAGAGAAAAGACATTTAAGGCAATAAATCTTTGCAATAAAGTGCTCCATATCAAAGATATAACATTAATAGAATTAATACAATTAAAATGTCTGTCATTTAGCTGATTGATGTTATCTTCAGTATCCTGACACCAGAGCTTCGTAGAGGGATCCGTCCATCTACTCGTTAGGAGGTAATATCAGTCAGCTGAGAAACGTTTTAACATATATATAAGAAGCACCGAATTATTATTTATTAATCCGACAGATCTTATAACTTTAAACGCTATTTTTAGTGGATACTCGTATTTCAGTAGACGCTCCGTTTATTTATGCAACTATTTTCGTCTACCGGCCTGAATATTCGAGAAATCAGGTGCTGATTGGGCCTGAAACTGCAACGTCCTTGCTTTCACGGATGCAAATTTGTCAATCACAACCACTCAACATCGAGATCAACAACAACAACAAAAAAAAAAAAAAAAACGGAACACAAAAAACTTGCTGACAACTTTCGACACAAAGAGTCTGTCGATGTCGAATCTTGTCAGATGATTCAGTGCTTAATGAATATAACACTACAAATTATTTGTTCTTTGGCGTCGTGGAGTACAAGTGGCACCCATGACACGTGTCCTACTCACTAAGCTCTTATACCTTATCCCAAATCTATTACATGATGTGCCCTATAAATTTAAATTGTCTCTTCCTGGTGCTAAGTATCCTTTTTGTTTCCATTTTCTTTAAAATCTTATCATTGCTCTTATGTTCCGTACATTGTATTCCCAGCATCCTCCTGTAAAACCATATTTCTGTTGCTTCAAATCTCTTCTTTATTTTTGGAAAAAACTGTCCAACAGTCACTGCCATATAGATGACTGCTATCACGTAACGCTTATCTTTGTTTCTAACGTGTTTTTCTAACTACTTAACCCATAGTTGAATGTTTTAAATTCAGAGTTATCCTTCTCCTATACTGGCTGCCAATCACAGCTAATGAGTCGATTGATTGATTCATTTTCTACGGTTTATCAACACTTTGCATGTTATTTAAAGCCAGAAAATAATTATAGGTTGTGAGAATTTTTTTTTTTTTTTGGTGGGGGAGATAATGTTTTTAATGATAAAAGTCTTACTAATTAACCCATAGCTGGAGAGAGAAGAGGTGGATTCAAACCTTTGCCACGGGTATTTGCACGTAAGTGAATATAATAAACCCAACGGGAATTGGAACTCTGCTCTCAGATTAAGAATTCTGACTCATAGTCTGTTATGCCACCCGCATATGCAAGTTTGCAACACGTGGTATTCCCAAACGGTTACCCATCTAGGTATTGGCCAGGCTAGATATTGCTTAACTTCCGTGATCGTACAGGAACCGGTTTTTCAACGTGATGCGGTCGTAAGCAAGAGAGCCCAGTCGGCACTGCTATTTAACTCATAGCTGGAGGGCGGGTAGAAACGATGGATTCATGCCTGTACCAAGAATATGTGTGCGAAAGTGAATATAAGGAGATCGACCGGAATACGAACCCAGTTCGCCGATCCCTTGCTCCGGACCTCAAACCATTATGTCACCAGCACATTTTAAGACGCAGCAAAGGCGATACTAAAATGATAGAATCTTCGGGGTTCGAAATCTGAGATTTTTCCTTGTAATCAAATAGGGTGGAAACCAACCAAAATAGAACCATATTTGGAAGAATCCGCTGTAAGAGCCCAGAGTATAGACAGGGTTATTCTAGGAGAGACTGTTTTATAATCCGGGTATAAGTTAGTCGAGGCCAGTTTATAGTCCTGGATATAAAACAGGTTAGGGTGAAATATAATCCTTCCTTTTACCATTTAATAATATCTATCTAACCACAGATGACAGTCGGAGATACTATCAACGAGTTGGGTTCTAATTTTGACCAAATCTCTTTTGTCTACTTCACACCAATGCCCTTAGAAGAATCCAGAATCTATCTTACATATTTATAAGTCTACCATTCGTCCATGCTTAGAATATTGCTGCTATATATGGTCCGGTGCCCCTGCTATTTACCTTGAGCTCCTTGATAAAATCCAAAAAAGAATCAGAAATATTATTGGTCCTGATCTGGCGGCTCGGCCTCAGTCACTTTTCCACTTGTCTCTCTGTGTCTTTTCTATAACTACTTCCATGGTAATTGTTCTGATGAACTTTTTGCTATGGTACCTATAATTTTGAATTTAAGCGCAGTACCAGACTGGCGTAGATCTCATCAATTTACAGTCGAGCTGGCTAAATTTTATGCTGTTTCTCTTCCAACAGGTAGAACTCCCTTCCGGCTACACGTTTTCCAGTCAACTTTAATCTGCAAAAATTTAAATGCAATATTAATCGCCATCTACTGTCCTCTTGATTACTCTTCCCGCTCATTATTAATGTTTCTGTGCCTAATTCTTCCACATTCTGTAACCCCTTGTGTCTTAGCGGCTTAACTGCCTTGTATGAATTTATCTTGCACCAGCTATAGATTAAATAGCAAGACATACGATTACCAACGTAGTTTTATCTTTATTTTACATATGTTATTTCCCTGGTGTGTATCTTTTGTAGATGCAGTCCACACGAAAACGCACAATTTTGTCGCCTTACTGGCAAGACATCAATGATATTCAACAAAAAGGGCCCAGTTCATCACCAGTGTTTGCCAAGTGTCTTTTACGAAAGACATCTGTAAGTGCCTCATTTGTCGACTAGAAACCTCTTAAACCGCTTCTGAGTAGCACGATCACTAACTTCACGAAAACATTAAACACATGATGCTTCTTCTGCTTGCTTTCCAAGTTCGAGTGAGTAGAGGAGACACGGCAACTTAACGGTTATCTGGTCGAAAAGTGAAATCGACGAACCGAGTTCAAATTCCGGCATACTCCGTTGCGTTCACTTTCGCGCAAATACATTTGGTAAAAAGACGAGTCCACCTTTTCTCTCCCGACAGCTATGGATTAAATGGCAAAAGAGAATAAAAACATCTGAATGCATGGATATCCGAAAATCTGACAAAGTGTAAAAATTTTCATGTGACGCGTTTTATCAGATGAAATCCTAAATGATGAAACGCGCCACACGAAAACATTTTTCGCTTTGTTACAGATTTTATTAAAATTTATACACACGCATGCATATATATATATATATATATATATATATATATATATCCATCCCCATGTGTAAGGTAGGTTAATTCCAATATTCAAACATTATATTTGAGCTGGCTAGACGTAGCCGTAAATTCTATGTTGTTTCTATTCTCGTAGGTTGAACTCTCTTCCAGCTGCACGTTTTCAAGTCAACTTTAATCTGCAAAAATTTAAATTTTAAGTGCTCAATACTGAGTAGCGCTTAATATTTATTGACAATTATAACTAAAACCTGTTATAAACCGCTACACAAATGCAATCTTGTTTCAGCACTGTGGGTGCGTCTTCAGGTAGTTGTGAAGGAGAATAAACGATTATTCTATGGTTTAAAAGCAGCAATACCCTCACACGAACGGGGCAAGGGAAAAAAAAAACTAAATTTCTAACATGCTATGGAGCGACCTTGATTAACCAATCAGATGTCAGTCCTATGATGATTTCAAAGTTAACTTGCGTATTGGATTTCCTGTTGATTGTACAGGTTATTTAACATCAAACTTAGATGTTAACAAAATGTCAAATTTATAGTATTCTTTTGTCTTGACTTAATAACATAACATAAGAATATAAACTATCAAGATGAAAGCAAATGATATGTGATTAAGATGGTACTATATGCTAGCTTCATACGGGGTTCTCGTCATTATTTATTGTAGACATACGATTTTTTTCTACCAATAAACCTGTCCACGCTCCGTATACATACGGCCTGAACATTGTGTTTAAACCTGAAACTGCCTATCGCCACTGACAAAAGGTAAGCTTATCAAGGTAAATGTGGAGGTTTTATTTCGTAAATTGTATTTATACACAGAAGCAACGTGAAGGAAAAATATGGTTAGTTTTGCAAATTTCGAATTTGAGAACTCGCCAAAATATTCTTAAAGTTGCTGTGTAAAGAAAGGTAAACTATGGCCGACACTAAATGATGTAATTCATTCCCTAATAAATGTAAGTGAGTAAATGTTGAATTTTTATTTATGTATCAAGATCATCTTTGATACTAAAATAGATGAAGCAACAAATAATATACCTTAACCTACTGTAATGGTTAATGTGTCAAGTTTGGTGAAATGAGATCCAGGTCAGCGTAGGTACGTGCATCAGAAGGAGGCTTTTAATAATCACTGGCAAGGGCAACTCGAGGTGGTGTATTGGTTGGCAAGCTTGTCTCGCTAGAACAATTATGAATGAGCAGTGAGTTCGTTCCTAACTGGGCTCCCTCTACTTTCGGCCTTGTGACACATCTAAGTTACGCTTGGAAAATCGCTTTAATAATCACTGGCAATTAGAATTAAACATTGGCGTTTTTAAACATCCTAACTGGATCACACAGACTAATTTTCGGTGTAGCCAAAAGTAAGCGAGAAAACGGATTGGTTAGAAATTGAGGTTGTATTTATTTTTTATTTATTCTTACCGGAAGACGTGCGTCGATCTCCATGCGCAGATACTAAGTTTTATCAGATTGATTTCTGAGTTTGAGGTTTTTCTGATATCCAGCTGCTGCCTCAGCTACGTCGCCAGTTGTATATACAAGGTAGAAGCGTTTTCAGTAAACTGAGATCTTTTCTGCTTGCAAGTTTGATATTTAGAAAACATCGTTCGCTGTTTTGAAGTCTCTGATATAGGATGAAATATGCACTTAAAATTATCTATCAGTTTGCTTATGTTGTAAAAATAGAACGCAGAAATAGCACGAAATATTCTGGGTCCCTATTGAATTTTATCCACGCTTGATCTGTTGAATCACCCGCTGGACAGAGGTTATGAAAACTTTAAGATGTTTTTAACTTTTTATTAAACTGAATATGTCAGCATGAATCAATTAAACAATTCAATGATAAAAATAGGTTGGTAAAAGTCTGCCCTGCTATTTGACCCCTAGCTGGATGTTTTTCTCAAGGTTAACAGGACGCAAAGTAAACGTAACAGACTTTGTCAGAATCTGGATTCGGCTCGTCGATAGCATCCTCGATTTTCATGTGCTACAGCTGCTGCTATTATTATTATTACTATATTTTATTATTAATATTATTATATTAATACTATATATTATTATTAATATTATTATAATAATATTATTATTACTATATTATTAATATTATTATATTATGATAATAAAAATATTTTTATCATTATATTTTATATTATAATGTTAATAACATTGTATTATTATTGTATTTTATAATATTATAATAAAATTTTATTATAATGTTAATAACATTTTATTATTATAATATTGTATAATAAAACATATACACATATATATATATAATTTTTTTTATATATATAATGCTATTATTTGAATCGTTTCACCCCAAGCAAGGGGTTATAAGCAGTGAAAGAGAGAAGACTTTAAGAGAAGCTGAAAAACCAATCCTAAAAGGGAAACAAGTGTGTTTTAATGGAGTCTTTGTTCAAAATAGCCGTGAATTTGTAAGACCATAGAGAGAATATCGAAGGAATAGAAGATTGGGTAGAGGAAACAAAGAAGAGATTTATTAAATGCTAATACATAGAACGGAGGGTAATTAGACGTGGCGTAATGGTTATCTAGCTTGTCTCACTAGATCAATTACTCCTGAGTACCGAGTTCGATCCTCATTTGGTGTCCACACTTTCGGCCTTCTGCCACATCTAAGCTACGCTGAGAAAATTTCTATATCGTTTTCATATATATTATAAATTAACTGATTTAAAGATATGGCTTCATCGCTAGACAGCGATGAAACCATATCTTTAAATCAGTTAATTTATAATATTTATGCTCTGTAAATTTACATTGAGCACTGTTTTGTAAAAAAATATCAATAAGAACACCGGATTATATATCTTACTGTTCTTTCTTTTTTTACTATAATATATATATATATATATATATATGTCAAGTCAAAATGTTGAGCGATGACTCCACACATTAAAGAGTTCCTTTGAAGAAAAAAATGAATGTATGTAAATAAACTGCTTCGGTCAGTTAAATTAGTTAAAATTAGACAGAAATCAACAAGACGTGTGATATGTTTATTTCTCTTTAGAAAATTAACATTTACTCTCAAATTTAAGCATTTACTTTTTGATTGAAGTAAGTACAAGAGTGATGTATATTTCAGTATATTATTGTTGCAATATCAATACATCTTTCCAAACTTTGAGGATAACAGAAAATATTCGATATTTTAAGTCAATCTTGAACCAAAACAAAAGTTTCGTTTCGTTCTCAAAATAGTGCTT